AAATACACGACAGGGAGAAGAAACAAATAAATGACAATACCGTCCAACAAAAAAGCTGTGGTGGGATTTTCAGCGTTTTCTTTCCGTCACCGAGTGGGTACAAAAACTAATGGTCTCCGAGGTAATGCCGTGAGTATGTAATGGCATTGGGTCCTAACCACAATCCTCAAAGCTAAACATGAGATAACTAGGAAAATAGACTTCCAACATGTAACACTAAGAGAAGGTCACTAAAGGTGTACACGGGAACATTCATTCGTAATTCAACTCATCGGATGGCATGACTCAGCCTTTCAGGCGTGGTCGTTCCTGCGTAACTTATCTCTTTTATTCATAATAAATATATTGTTCTATCTCCAGCCTAAATGTGTTGTTCATCATATATTGGTGATTATACGATTAGTCAGTGTAGACTGATGTAACTCTTATATAAGATTTTATAGATTAGGCAGCTACATCATGATAAATCTACAGTTTTAGGATGAGGTCTATTATTAGAGTAATACTAATAACGAACTAGACCACAATTCTACAAGCAATTCATAAGCACTTTTAAAAATTATCTTTGTATTTTCGTGTAGAGCTGTCTATGTGTGAAGTAAAGAGTTGCATTTACTTTGACTGTTTTTTAGATGTAGTTTGGGCTGGTGTAAACACTTTTTGTGATTGCCATTCCCAAGCTGAGCTCTATAAAGACTATCAAGAGCACATTTTTATAAATGACGTCAGTGCTCTGCGCCCGGATGTTCATCATACAGTATATCGGTCAGTTAATGTACAGAAAATTGCCTAGTGTCTACTCCACTATAGTTATTTTTGAGGCTCTAGTAAATCATTTTCATCTTTTATACATCCTCACATCGTCAAGTCGTCTGTGTTGATTTGCGTCACTGAATTAATTTTATCTACATGGTTGATAGTGAAGGTCAGGACTATTTCCATCATTTTTTTGATAAACTGGTAGAAATTATTGTAATTTTTGCGCTGATGACTTGATGCTGGAGGACCAATCGAGAAACTTGGTGACACTTATTTGGATTATACTTATTTCAGCTGAAATAGTTTCAGTGATTTAAGGAAGGTGGTTAGAGATCTATAAATTTGGGGCGCGTTAATGGAGTCTCTAAAACTAGTGATTGTAACGTCGTATCCTAGTCTGGTTAATAATATAAGCCGGAGTAAAACCAGTAGAAGCGCAGAGGATAGTGAAAGAGAAGTAGATAATGAAGTGACAATCAACAAATGAAATTAGGGCAACTGATCATACAACCAGTAATTAATTTGGGGATAGTAAAAGAGCAAGAGGAACAGCACCTAGTAACGACCAATAAGCACAATAATTCCATGCCTCATTCCGTCATAGTAACGTGTTTGGCCTTGGTTGAAATATGGATCCTGTCTGACTCTGTATGATTACTTAGATTTGATGGTTGCGTAATGAACACAATAATAATTTCAGAGTAATACTCTCAGTGAACAAGGTGCCGTGGATATCTATATGGATATCGGCAATATGTTAGATGTTAGTAAACGTCTTTTAATGGGCTTACAAGTGACTCACATAGAAGCGGTCGCGGTTACTGTTCCTTCACGGACCATAGTTCCTGTAATATTTGAAAATCATAATTGCGAAATTGTTCCAAATTATCCACATCGAAAAATTTGTTACAAATTGCTATTATCACGCACCAATATGAAGCGAAATGATCAAAAATCAATGAATTTAAAAAGACCACTGTTTAAAAACAAAACGAATTCCCTAAATACGGAGCGGTTTTGGCTAACGGAATAGGACTGAGGGAGAAGAAACTGAGGTGATGATAAGCAGCAAAGAACGGCCAAGTACAGGATACCAAGAGTTCATGCCTGTGTCTATTGTTCCCACAAGTTACCGTTTCTTAAGTTCTTGTTAGTTTATTTTCTTTCAGTTCTTCTGCATCTCCAAACCAAATTTCTTAATCTTTAGACTTATTTCTACAGAAGCAATGCACCTTCAGTGTGAGTACGCTTAAATACGGCCAAGATATTCAAGGTTAAGTTAGCCGATCCATCTAAACTAATATATCAAACTACACGACATTGAGCATCAAGTAAATTTGTCTGCTTTCATCATATGTTTTGTCCTAAACCACGCCACCAGGTTCTGAATATGTTTGTAAAGTATAATATTCACCATTGTCCGCAGTAGATGCTGGATATTAGTTTTTCCACTTAGATGAAAAGCGATCACTGACATTTAATATGTTTATCGACAGTATGATTGTCTTATTAACTTAACACCCTCCTGTTGCTATATTTAGGAAAGAAAAGAGGGGGTTGAGTTGTGAATCGTGAAGAAGAAAAGACTGGTTGGACTCACCTATTTTATGAAAATGAATGATTACACAGTATAGTCTTTGGTCGTTTATCGTTTCCCGCAAACCAAAATGAAAACAAATAAAGTAGTTTCAACCAGTACAGTTCTTTTAAAAAGTCTGTGTAATTTCATCTGTAAATGCATGTATGCCTTTGTCGACAATCTACTCATAAGCTTGAGGTTTTTTTACGTTTACGTATGCGTTCAAATTTCTACTTGTCGACCACTCTATTCGTTACCTGTCCAGTTATCTTCTATGTCCCTGACTATAAACGCTAAATCACGCTTCGTAAGACTGGCCATACAACGTTGCTCACCTGTTGGCCCATATTTTTAAATATATGTGTAGAATTTTTTTCACCACATCACTCACTGACTTTCGTCCACAAAACCACGAAGCGGGGTTTGCCTAACTACAATTCGTGGAGTCAAACGGAAAATTTATATCTAATGGTCCATCCACCATGGTCATTACTGTAAGAGCCAACAAATACCTACAATGTAACTCAACTAATTTATTCATATATTTCAACACAAACGCGGGCATCAAATATACGCCACACACTAAAAAGGAGATTGTGATGATATACGAAAAGGAAAGTGTGTATCATAAAAAGTGAACAAAGATAAATAGAAATTATGATATGAGAGTGGAATAAAATGGTGATAATAGTAGTAATGCAAAAAAAGTTGAATTAAGGAAATTTCAACCAGAAAGAATTCGTTCAGTTCAAGAGGTTACTGCAGGATCGCTACTGGTTCATATTCTGAGATATGCGTAATAACGTCTCTAGCCTCTCCGTTGCACCACTCCATGACTCCAACCAAAGTATCATGAAGGACCAACAGAAGACAGTTCTGCACAGATTTATATCATACCACGACACCATGTCATACAGTGACAACCTCTCCGCTTTTTCCAACCAGTCACAGCGTTGGCGAACAAGGCACAATATGGAAATTCCTCAGACAACGTTTGTAGGATATATCAAAGCCACAGAAATCGGTGTTTCAAGACGGTGACACCAATTGAATTGTCGTCGCCATAACTGTGCATTACTAATATGGTGTTGTCACTAGATGCCAGCAATCCTTTGAAGACTATAATGATCAAACACAGAGGGTCGTCAGGTTTCTCTGACAGAATAAAACTGATCTTACCAACGCGTCATAGATCCAACCACTCACAGTCACACTGACATAACGAAGGTGCCAAAGGTCACCCAGGTTGTTATCAGCCGCCCTGGTATTCACTATAGGTGAATCGATCTAATCAGTCACACCCTCATCGGCGTTTACGCAGCATCCTTCATGACTGTTTCCAGGGTGTTAGCGATAGCGAAGTTGAAAATGAACGTTGAGATTAGTCAACTTTACCCAACCCCACTGTTTGAATAAAAGAATGAAGAGAAGTATTTGTATACCCTCAGTTTGCCCGGGAGTTTTGTATGTATGACCTTAAAGATGTTAGTAAACTTCTCAGGCACATCCTTCATCAATAGACAATCGCAGAGAGCAGTCCTGTCCAACTAGTCGGATATGGCCATGATGTCAAGTAACAAAAGATTGTTGTTCTGCAACAGATATGGTGGTATTTTAACACATGAAAATGATGGTTAAGATATGTTCAATACATCCCCAATCACAACGAATATCATATTGCTCCTCATGAGTCTATTTTGGACGCGATCGGAGGAGGACTTATCCCCTGATAGTTGTTGCAGAAACGACGTAAACTCCTTTTAAGGATAGGAAAAACTATAGACTAATTTCACGATGCTCGAACACTAATTCCCAGCAATTTTTAAACATCTCGGTCAGTTCCTCTATCAGTAGGTCACTACCATCTTTAAAAGGGGTCGGAGGTAAGTCATCTGGTCCTGATGATTCGTGACGCTCCAGGAGTCGGAATTCCTCGTGGACTTCTCCTTCAGGTGGATCAGTCGTCTTGAAGGATAGGAAAGTTTGATCAATGTCGTCGGGCAACAGACCAATTGAACCGCTCCTTGCCAATTTTTTCCCACTGTCCAAGGAATCGATAGATTTTACTGATTAGCATTCCATCAACTTCACAGATTGTTCCACTCACACCAGATGTCTTGCTGCTAATGACTCAGATGAGTTGACCGAGCTTACAGCATCTCTTACAACCGTCAGCCAGTTTAGATCGATATCGATAGCCTTCCAAATATACCATAGAACCACTTCATTTCTGACTTCTGATTTGACTGGGTTGGTACACTTTGAATATAAAGGTGCTACATGTAAAGACGTTGTCAAACCCTAAATACTTATGGGATCATAAAACATGTCATTACACAGATATTTTAAAGTAATCACCAGAATACGTTACGTTTTCCTTCTAAATACTGCGTAATGTTCATCTCGATGACTATTTGCACTAGTCCACATTGCAGTAATTGTATCTTTTACTAAACAAAGAACTTGATTCCTCGTCATTTACATAGATGTTGGACAATGCCGAATGTTGACATTCTAAAGGCTTTTCGTTTCTGTTTCTTTCCTTATATATAAGTTCTGACTTGAAAGGAAATCTGACTATAGGCTGGTAAATATGAAGGATTGTCAAGTGGTAGGTTGTTTGGGTTATTTGGTCTAGTCCATGACCTTCAGAAGCAACCAATAGGAATTAAGCGACGAGGCCTGGCGAGGATTTGAAATCTCCCTTTCGCGAGGAAAATGGCTCTTAACAAGGAGTCTATGGATTCCCATTTTTCGTTAGTTGTGTATGAAGTTTTTATATTTGCTAGGTTTGTTCCAAAAGTTGTAAACGGCGGTATCGCTGGGATCGTTGGTGTAACCTGCGTTTTTCCAATTGATCTGGTTAAAACGAGAATGCAAAATCAACAAGATGGCAAGAAGTTATACAAAAATGTGTGAGTCACGTCTAAAACTGGTCCATCACCCGGTTATTTATTTCCCTTTGAGAGAAATATTCTTAAATGTTTGAAGAACAGGTGCACAAAACTTAGTATATAATGCTGCCTTCCACGAAATATAGTAAGGTGCAGAAAGTTCAAGAACCCTAATAAATAGACCACAAAACCATTTGGAGTGAGCCTTTTCCTAAATCGGTATCTAAACTTAAGGTTTTCAAACAAGTAGAGAAAGCTTTCACATCCCTAAGTTTATCGCCAATACTCTCATGTCTTTAGTACTTTTCCGAATATTTGGTCCCGAGAAACTATTGAATAGACTAAATATCTAAAAAAGCTGGTTTCAGTTGCATCGTGTTTTCCTAGTTCCATATCTGGTTAATCGAGTTGTCTAGTGAATCCTGGTTGTCATTTAACCATTGCGAGTCATCCACTATCACAGGCCGATATTTATTTTCCGAATAGGTAGTCGGTTAGATCTCTCGGCTACACTGTATAATTACATCTCGGCTATCTATCGGTCTTCCATCTACTAATTCGAAGTCTCCCGACCGTTAATCTATCTGGATGAACATGTTGGAAAAATACGTACGTTTTACTACCTACTTTTTTCTGCACCAAAGATAGAGCATTTGTAGGTGATGAGCGTTTAATTAGTAGGCTTAAATAATCTAGTTATTCAATTTAAAAGCCAAATTGACTAGTGGTGTCAACTAAATGGTAAAAAGTAACTTTTATTATATAACACAGTTTTTGTTGAGTAATTCTTGTCATTCAGAGTTCACCATACTGTTCATTGTAAACATATAATCGCTTCGTAAGGACAGTTGTTAGATTAAACTTAGCCTTCCAGCCAAATTGAAGCTACATACTTTTACTGGTTTTCTGTGTGGCTTTCTATAGATAATATCCTCAGTAAACTGTACTGTAGACATTCTTTGATTATAACGTTCCATTAAACACACTACATAGTTTTGAGTGAAAGCCTTCAACTCAGTAGTTTCGGTTACCTCAAACGAACTTATTGTTATATGTGTATATTCTGAATAAATAAATCCATATCTTTGTGTAATTAGGTTAGCATTGACAGTTTCATCTAGCTGTGCCCCCAAATGCCCTGGTACGGCCTAGTGGTATGGCAACTTGAGCAGATGCGACAGATCTACATTACCCGTAACTGATAGTATCTTTTCCAGTTTGCCAGACACTTAAGTGTAAGTCATCATTATCTTAATAAAGAACTAGTTCGGTAAAGAATGATATGAGTGTTTCTCGTGAAGCCTTTAAAATATTGAAAGGGGCTGAAAACACAGTATAAAGCCAGTAGGAGAGAGTTACTACAAGCGCCAATATATATGCGCCACACAAAACAATGAGAATTCGAAGAGAAAAAAAGAGATAAGGAGCGTAAAAAAAGAAATAACGAAGAGATTGGTGTAAGGTAGTGTAGTAATAATGAGGGAACGGAAAGGTACAATCGAAAGAAATCTTTCAGTTAGGGAAGACACAACCACTTTTTATGAAGAAAGTAAAAGAAGGTTACAGCAGGATCGCCACTGTCTTCTATTCTGAGCCATATCTGATAACGTCTCTAGCCACTGTGTAGCAGCATCTCTCGGACCCCAACCAGGGAGTCGTGAAGGACCAACAGAAGCCAGTCCTTTGCAGCTTTCTTTCATGCCACGACACCATGTCATGCACTGACCGCCTCTCCGCTTCTTCCAACCAGTCCCAAAGTCGGCAAATAATGCACGACGTGGAATTCTCTGGGACGACATTCGTAGAACATGTCCAAGCCACCGAAGTCGGTGTTTCAAGATGGTGACATCGATTGCATTATCATCTCTGTGCCCGAACACACGATGCCGAACCTCTGGTTTACTGACATGGTGTTGCCACTGGATGTCAGCAATCCTTCAGAGACAGCGATGATAGAACACAGAGAGTCTTCTAACGTCCTCAACTCAGAGAGGCCAGGTTTCAGAGGCATAGAGTAAAACTGCTCTCACCGACGCGTTGTAGGTGCGACCTTTTACAGCCAGAATAACATAACGAAGGCGCCAAAGATGGCCCAGATTGGCATAAGCCGCTCTGGCTTTCACTATACGTGGATTGATCTCATCACTCACAACCCCACCAGCACTTATGCAACTACCTAGATACACGAACTTCTCGACTACTTCTATCTGCTCACCATCCAGGGTGAGTACAGGATTAGAATCCTGCCAGTCTTGTAGAAGTACTTTGCACTTCGAAGGTGCAAAGCACATACCATACTTACGGACACTGATTGCCAACTGATTAAGTGCGGATTGCATGCCTTGGGCATTATCACACAGTAAGACAATGTCATCCGCATACTCAAGGTCGAGAAGTCTTTCTCCAGGCAACAGATCCACACCACCATTACTTACATCCATCAGAGCTGTTTCCAGAATGTCATCGGTGGCAAAGTTGAAGAGGAATGGTGAGATTGGGAAACCCTGCCTAACTCCACTGCTCGAATGGAACAATGGAGAGAGGTGGTTGTGTGCCCTCACTCTGCCTGAGGTGTTTTTATACAGGGCTTTTAGGATGTTAATAAACTTCTCAGGCACACCCTTCTTCAATAGACAATCCCAGAGAACAGTCCTATCCAACGAATCGAAGGCAGCCCTGGTGTCAAGAAACACTACGATTGTTAGCCTTTGATAAGTATGGCGGTGTTCTAACATTTGGCGGAGGGTGAAGATATGATCAATACATCCTCGACCAGAACGAAACCCAGCCTGCTCCTCGCGAGTCAATCTTTCTCGGGTTTTGAACAACCTACGAAGTATGACGAAAGCCAATAGCTTGGACGCAATCGGAAGTAGACTTATCCCCCGATAGTTGTTACAGGGACGAGGTGAACCCCTTTTAAAGATAGAAACAACTATCGACTCATTCCATGACGTTGGTACACTCTCTAGTGCCCAAAACTTTGTAAACAACGTCGTCAATTCCTTAGTCAGAAAGTCACCACCATCTTTAAAACGAGCCGGAGGTAAGTCATCTGAGCCAGGTGATTTGTGACGCTTCAAGAGTTGGAGTTCCTTGCGGACTTCCGCCTCATTTGGTGGATCAGTCGTCACCGGCCATGGGGGGCAGGAGAGTCTGACCGATGTTGCCGGGGCAGCAGCCCAGTTGAACTGCCCTTCGAAAAATTCTGCCCATCGTCCAAGACGTCGATGGATGTTAGTGATTGGCATCCCATCATCCTCGCAGATTGTTTCGCTCACACCGGACTTCTTGCTGCCAGTGGCTTGGATGAGTTGGAAGAGCTTCCGGTAATTACCAGATGCAGTTGCTGCTCCCAACTCATTAGCACGCTCCGACCACCAGGCTTCTCGGTCCTTACGCAAGCTTTGCCCGATTTCCTTACGTAACATCCTTCGTTTGTGTTCAAACTCACGGTCACCCGGAGTAGACCGACGGGCTTCAATGAGTTGTAAGGAACCTGAAGAAACCCAGTGCATATAAGCGGGACGTTTCGCGAACCCACAACTGGCTGTACTCGCCATTTTCATGGCGTCATGCAGTTGCAACCAATGCTCATCTATTCTTTTCGGTGGATTGGTAGCTAGCCTAGAAACTAGCTCGGTTCGATACTTACTTGCAACAAAAGTTGCAACCAGCTTGCTAACATCAATCCGTTGATGGCGGTCACTTCGTTGGCCACTGGAAAGTAAGGCAAGATTGGCGCAGACCAAGGCATGGTCAGAGTCCAGATAGGGTACTCCAAAAGGAGCGGCAGTCTTGTACACAACCACGCCAGCGGTAGCTGATCGCGATGTGATCAATCTGAGTCCAGGTTTGGGATGCAGAGGGAGGACGCCAGGTAACACATCTGCGACGACTGTGCCGAAAGTTAGTGTTAACCAGAAACAGATTGTGGTCTGTGCACAGTTGCAGTAGACGGTCCCAGTTATCTGACCTGCGACCAACGAGTCCCCATCGGCCACCTAAACGACTCTCTTCTGTGCCTAGACGCCCGACCTGAGCATTCAAGTCTCCGGCTAGTACTACAATATCTGTCGAACGTACTTTCTGGAGAAGAACAGATAACTGGTGGTAAAACTCATCCTTGATTGTATCCGGGCTGCAATCTGTCGGGGCATAGGCGGAGATGACGAAAAGACATCGTTTCTCACTCCGATTTCTTCTCACTTTGATGGAACTCTCTAATCTAACAGCACATAACCGACTGTTAATGGGGATCCAATCGATTAATGCTGCCTCAGCTCTAGCGCTTAGTGCGACACCAACGCCTGCAAGACCAGACGAAGATGCCACAGGGTCCCCGGATAAGCGCACGTAAAACAAGCTTTTCGAAACGACGGTTGAGCTAATTTGTAGTACTTCACCAGAGTCTTGAATACGGGTCTCGGATAGACAGCAAACATCAATATTAAGACTTTCCAAAGACATAGCCAGCCCTATCTGTTGTCCAACCTGCATAAGTGTGTGAACGTTGAAGGCAGCCAGTTTGAATGGTGCACGTGGTTTCAAAAAAACTGATTAAGAATTCGTATTTGATGGTAGCATACAATTTTCAACCGAACAGTGACTTGAGAACGTTTAGATAGAGTTGAGTTTCCACCAAAGACGAGCCGCTGTATAAGTATAAAAGAGGGTGAATAATGTGGTAAATAATAATAATAATAATAATAATAATAATAATAATAATAACAATAGCAATAATAATCATTTGAATCATCTGATTGTTAGTTGAAGCAAGTAAAGTAGTTTCCATAATTATAGGCAGTTCATCATATTTGTGTGTGGGCTGTGATACTGCCCGGGTGCCCAGACCGAAGCAGGTGGTTATCTTAGGGGGCCTTTGACCTAAAGGTCTAACCCACAAGGTAGTGGAGCATCGTAAAGAGATGCAGTCCCATGGTAGCCGGTGACCAACGATTGGTTCATACGCCATTTGTTCCTTTAGGATACTGGAGCCCATGTGCACCATTGGTTCGGGATCCGGTTAAAGCGCCGGACATTCGCTTTTCGTCCTCTCATTTTCGTAAACAACACTCCCGCCACGAGAAGGCAATGAGTAGGACTTTCCTGGCAGAGGCTGTATACGCGTGGCCGTGTGAGAGCGTTTCGAGAGGGAGAGCGGACTTTCCCCACTCTCGGCCGTACCATGGCATTTGGGGGAGAGAGTTACGGTGGAGCAATGGGCTAATGATTAGGAGTTATACTCTTGTGTACTAAGTCCCAGGTTTGAACCCGGTCCCTCGGGCAAATGGGTAACGTTATTAATCTTCTTACTTAAAGTGTGGCTCATACTCAGGTCTCAAGTAAGTTAGATTGATTTAATTAAAGGTATGTGTCACATAGTACCAAGGTGTATGGTCGTTAAGTCAATTATCTGTCAATTAAGTGAATAATATTGAGGTTGGACAGTCGGTCGTGGGAAACGTGACAAATCAATTGATGAGTTATTAAATCTTTATCGAATGAATTGATTAGGACGTGTTAAATGTGCTTAAATATCTTCCACCTTGACACGATGTTCACTGATGTAAAAGTAAGTTGGGAAGACGTTAGAAGCGGCCGAACCAAGACCTGATATCAGTTTGTGCAGTCACTGAGTGTCGGCAGTTTCAGACATCTGGTTAGGGTTCGTATGATAATCGTAATCAGCGGTTAGAAATATTGGGTGTCATTGCTGGAAATCGGTCACAATGACGCAGATATATTCACTTTTGAGTTCTAGTATTTCTTCGTGAATGCCTTTGCATTTCGTCTTTTCAAACCATATTCTCAATGTTTAATTTCCGTTATCAATAATACTGCATCGTTTTGACCGATTTTGTAATTAATCTTGTTGTTTTCATCTCGTCGTGTTATTATAGTACAGTAAGCTAAACCTGCGTATATTTTTTAACTAGTTTCTACGTTGATAATGACTAATTGACTGGAAACTAAACGTAAATGATTCTAACTCAAGAAAAATCTTACTAAAAAATAAAATAGACCGTTGTCGATAAATCTTTGTTATTTTGTTTTTCCATATCCTTAAAAAGTTTGGACTGTGCTGCAAAAACATATCGTGCAGAAGGATTTTTTGGCATGTACAGAGGTTAGTACTATATGATTAATGGTTTTTTATTTTATCAACGTATTTATACTTTTATTGTCAATAGCTGTTTTGGTAATTGTTCGACTTGAGTGATATACATTAATTTTATACGGTTCAAGTAATCTATAGCAAGATAAGCTTTCAGCAGTTAGAGTAATTCTATTAAATTATAAAATCTGAATGTACACTGTTTAGTTAATCGATGTATTACATTACTGAATTATTATCTTGCTGATAGTGGCAATTTTATCTTTTTGATAGCTAACGAGTTAATCTTTTAATTGTCTTTTTACTTTTATATCACAGTTCAATGATATTAGGACTCAAATACTACCCATCAAATTACTAGTACAAATCCGACTATTGGTCTAGTTTAATTTCAATAGAATGGTTGTGGTATATTTGGTTTACATACAGTGGTACCGTTTAAAGCTTTCTGAACATTTATTCTTCATGTACAAATAACACTTTTAATACTTGCTACAGTTTAGCATTCTTTGTTTTACTTTGACTCATTAGTTTAACATAAAGAAGGTTCATCTAAATCCACTAAAAACTCAGGTCTGGATATTTATCGTTCATTCAGCCATATTTTAAGATGCTCACTCTATTATTTTGATTCGTACAACCAGTTGCTGTTGTCATCGTCATGTAATTAACATAGCCTACGGTTTCAAACGTGAATTCTCAAATAGTTGTTGAGTTACACTTGTTATAAATATAAAAATGCCATGACTTATGGCTGCTCACTGACAGCACGTAACAAAATCGCTAATCGGAATATCGACATCTATGACCTTGTCCCTGTGCTGAACCAATAACGCGTCAAACAGCACTAGCAGCCTTGAGTCAACTCTGAGACTCTATTGGTCCGTTCAGTTCAGAACACAAATATCAGCCTCCACTATATGAATCGTAGATTTCAGACATACGTAGTTTATATACAAGCAGACCAGACCGTATCATACCGTATCATATCATGAAAAATAACAGTTATAAAAGATCAAGCCAAAAGTGGTTGTGAGTGTGGAGGACTATAACTGATAAATCGGGAATAAGTTAGGGATAATTAATCTATAGGTCAGATAAGAGCTTACGATAAACGGAACACGAACATATATATATATATAATTCCTGGCTGTTACCACTCATTCTTCTTTCCGATATAACAAAAACTAAGTATTACTCAATAAATACAAGTGTTCATAAGGCTTGTTCAGCAAATCTGTAGGATACAATTATTGTTGCTACAACGCTCGGTTTTCCCGTCTACCTTAGACGAATATCTACACTAGATACCATTCTAGTGACTATTCTAAAAGACTTCACAACTCAGATCAAGAATACATGACTAACCTGACTAGAACGTGAATATATCTCCACTTTGAAGAAACCGATAACAAAAACAATAATAAGGGTAGGAAAATATATAACTCATTTAACACCTGTAAGACTATCTACAAGTCTGGCTAAGCAAACAAGCAACAATTATTTTCCTCGAACACACATCAGTTACATCATATTTTCTTCATTATCATTACTATTGTTATTGTAAGCATGTCCGAAGTGTTTCCATGTGTAGAGAGGAGTTAAGAGAATAAAAACTCAAGATGCACTAGCTTAGGTGCCCGACCGTTGTCTCTATCTTGGTGTTATGGTTGGGTTCGCATATCGTTTTGACTTTATTGAGCTCTATGAACTGATAACAAGGACGTCAGCTAGAGGTCCTCAAATTCATGGCCTAAGATAGAACTCGTACTACTGACTGTGCTGGGGTGTGGTAGCGACAATGTCGTCTCCCAAAAACTAGCATTTCCAGCCATGCTGACCCTTACAAAACAGGCAGGAAGAGTTTGGCAAAGATCAGTCCCAAAAGTACCACACCTCACCTTACTCATGTATATCCATTGTCGGTGGTAAAGTCTTAGATAAGAGGCTGGCATATCTTAAGCCGATCATAAAAAGCCGTTTGTAACCGGAATGAAGAAATTGTCCTTTTGACCCTCCGTTCATATTGTTGGGTTCTTAGGGCCACTCTTAATCCAGTTTTCTTTTCAGACATTTCCATAACAAAAGTGTCCTTCCACGGCGTGAAGAGTCGATAAGGGACGATCGCCACCATACCTCTAACAGTACCTGAGATAATCTTACTATCCATTTGAGTAACAGTTTTATGGGGATAATTTTTGTTTAACAATAACTAAATGTTTTAATGATAAATAACATGTAGTATTGCACCTGTAGTAATGTAGCTCACTTACAAAGTAAACATTTATGTATTCAACTTTAAACCACACTGTTTATATTGATTATGGTTAATTATGCTGACTAGCTGCCCAAACTAAATTAGATGAATGGAGGTCCAAACCAACGACCCAGTCGTTGAAAAGTGAATACTTCCAACCAATAAACTATCACTTCATTTATACAGTAAATTTGTGATTTTTCAACTTTATGAATCAATTAACTTAAATCTAACAGTGTCCAGAAAAAAAGTTAAATGTAAATAATGGTATAATTAACTTTGAATTTAATACACTTTTCACCAGGTTCAACATTAATCTTTGCCATGTCAAAACTTGAGAACTCTTATGTTAGCGTTTTTTCCTCTCCGATGTTTTAGGAAGTGGTGTCAATCTTCTTTTAATTACACCAGAAAAAGCGATTAAATTAGTCGGCAATGATTTTTTTCGTTATCATTTAAAACCTGAGGAGTAAGTTTTTTAATCATTTCTATTATATTTTTTTGTTTTCGAAAATCTGTTAACTTAATTGATTATTAAATTGTCTTTATTTGAATACTTAGCAATTAGAGCGTTTGGCTTGCAACTATTAATTTACAACGTTTTCAAGCAATGTATATTAGCGCTTTGTAGTGGAATCTAAGAAGCTTGTTTCGTCCTGTTCGAGACTTGTCTGTTGGATGTACTTGCTACAGAATCTTGCTGTTGATGTTCACATAGGTATTTAAACTCAGTGTTTCTCGCTTCAACCTTCCTGCTCGTTATCCACTTGCTGTCTGGGTTGAGTAGCTAAGCGTATAACTTATCAGGCATGTAAAGCGAATGGTGTCGGGTCCTTGTCCCTATGTGGACATCAATACTGGAATCTTGTAGTAAGTACACCCACCTGATGAGTCCAAAGCAGTACGAAACTCGTTTCCCGGATTCCATTTAGGCATTATTAAACATTTCTTAAAAATACTTGTGTCAATATCGATGCAGTTTTCTCAGGACACACATATGTCAAAAGAGACTAACCAATCAACAACGGGAATATTCGAACCCTTTCAAATGAATTAGTATTAAGTTACAGATCCCACTCCTTTACCCTCACACGAAAGTTGTGGTTCAAAGCTCCAAGTACATAAATTTTTATCTGGTAAATGAGTTACAAAAAAATTAGTTGATATTTATAGTATGGGTATTGCATTCTGAATATTTTATTGATGTTATGCCTAGAGTTCAATAACTTGAACTAAATTCAGTGCATATTCAGGAAAGATTTATTTGAACTGATGATTTAATACAATCATCTTAAATTAATATTTGTTGGTCTCGTAACGTAAATGAATTATTACTCTTTTCGGGTTTGTATTGAATAGTTACTTTGAAATGTGGAGCTATGGTTCGATGGTTGGTTAAGTTTAATATTTAGCCACTAATTCTTATTGTTATTGTTATGTCCTGTGGCTAGTCAAATATCACGTAACAAAATCGCTAATCGGAATATCGACATCTATGACCTTGTCCCTGTGCTGAACCAATAACGCGTCAAACAGCACTAGCAGCCTTGAGTCAACTCTGAGACTCTATTGGTCCGTTCAGTTCAGAACACAAATATCAGCCTCCACTATATGAATCGTAGATTTCAGACATACGTAGTTTATATACAAGCAGACCAGACCGTATCATACCGTATCATATCATGAAAAATAACAGTTATAAAAGATCAAGCCAAAAGTGGTTGTGAGTGTGGGATCCTGTAACTAATGGATTAGGAATGAGTTAATGGGTCATAACATCCTACATATATATAAACAAATTAGATTTCTTTCACTTACTAAATTTTCTGCATACATAATTAACATTTAAAATCTCCTTGGTATATGTTTTGTTAAGAGAAGTTAATTTTACGCTCGTGTCCTACGTTCATGTTTCTTTGTGTTGGGGTTGCTTCCGAGAAGCACGGTGGAGCCTCCAGAGGCCTTAATGGAGCCGAAGAGTTCCCACCCAATCAGAACCTGATGGAGCTTTTCAGAATATTAACGTGGCATGCTGCTATTGGACGGTAGCATAACGTACCTCCTTGCCGATTGACGGAATTATAATGATGTTATAGCCAACGCCGATAACTATAAATACATATGTTTTTCCGTAGATTTTTGATTCTTACCCAACATTCATTTTTGCTTTCTTCTGATTTTACGACTGTGGGGTTCTATACGTTCGAGTGCCGTTAGTTGTATACCGTACTCTGCGTTAATCAAGTAGAGGACTGGACACTGTTTAAACAATGTTTTTGTTTGTTTATTTCTAGCAAACCTTTAACTCCAATTCGTGAAATGTTTGCTGGAGCTGGTGCAGGAACTTGTCAAATTATTATCACTACACCAATGGAATTATTGAAAATTCAATTACAAGATGCTGGTCGAACATCAAGTAAATAAAAAACTAAAATAAATATCAAACTGGCTCACTTAACTGTATTCTGGATAAGAAATTATGGCAGTCACTATCGAGCAGTATGATGTATTCATTAAATACGTTTGTAGGCTTCAGTATCATCCCTATTGTTTAAGGTTTATCGATTAATCTGTGTTAATTGTCTCATGTATCGTTGCTTACTACTTAAGTATGATTGGGTTTTGTGATGAAAGTCCTCGTAGAGATAAGATTGTATGATGGCAAAGGTGACGCACTGTCTTAAATTTTTATCTTAACTGGATAAAGTCGTAAAACCAGTGTGATTCTACTCTGCTGATTATCTCTACATTCACGTCCGATAGTGGAGCGCTGGATCATTGGTTAAGACTCTTGACTTTCAGGCACTAAGTTATAGGTTCTAACTCCCCTGCTCGTACCTTGGTTTGATCAGCGGGATAGTATCAGTAGCTCCCACTTAGTGTGACTCGAAGCTCCATACACACGAATCTGTGCCTGATAAGTGAGTTGAGGTATTCGTATTCTATGTCATTTGCATATAGTTTTCTTCAAATCATTAAACAGGATTATATGAGTAGCTTACATCCTGAATGCATTAAGTTATTCCGAGGTTTTCTGTATTAAGCTGTTATCTTAATTTTATTGAAGTTAAGTATGTTGACCATCGCCCAACCTTTCTGTATTACTTTGTGGCCATGCAACATGGTCTCTGAAAGTAGAAGACATGAGTGGTCTAAAGATTTTTGATTATAAGTATCTTCGAAGCATCGCTCGTTTATGATGGAACGATTTAGTGAGTAGTGTTAAGGTTAGGCGTAAAGTACTTTGAAAGGGTCCGAAATAGGTTAATGAGGTGAAGCTTCATCGATTGAGGTGGTTAAGACATATATTACGTATGACTAAACACCGCCTAACTCGATGAGGAACTCTTGCTATTACAGAAGTTGGTTGGAAGAAAGCTAAGGGCGGCCAAACTAAAATACGACATCAGTTTATGAGGTCATTGACTATTAGTCTGAATCATGTTACTAGATGTAAACTATCTGATTGGAGTCTGTACATATATTGTAAACAAGGGTTAAAGTCTTCGAGTGACATAGCTCAGAATCACTCACACTGGTGCAGATGTATTCATTCTTCATCTTCCTCTTGATCTTGAATTCCAGTGTCTCTTAATGCATACCTTTGAGCGGTGTCTTTTCAAACCATATTCTGAAGGTCTAGTCTTTCTTTTTATAATTGCTGCAACGTTATTTTGATCTCTTTTGCCACTTTTATCTCGTTGTGATAGTGTGGCATGTGAATTCGGGTCAACGAACATTTGTGCGAGGCTCAAAGTTGATAATGTCTATCTGTCTGTAATTTAAACCACTGAATTCTGGCTCAGTCGTCTGAAGGTCAGGCACTTGCTGTAAGACCTGGAGCTTCTGGGTTCGGTTCGTGGTGGAGTCATGGAGGTTCACTACTGAGGACTCTCATACTCGGACAAAAAAATTATCCGGCACTTTCTATTTTTCAATGGTTGTCTGGCCAAGGTTATTGTTATTCTGTAGTGATTCAGGCTTATTTTAAAGCTAACCACAATAATGTGTATTCCATTGTTTTATAAGTATCATCCATTTTTTCTTCTGTGATAAAATATTGTCAATGTTTACAATTTTTTAATCTTTAGTTCCTGTAACTAACAGCAGTGGTACAGTAGTAGCGACACGACAGACTGCTACTCAATTGGCCATTAAATTGGTTCGTGAAAAAGGAATATTTGGTTTATATCGTGGAATGGGTGCTACATTTTTACGTGATGTTTCATTTTCTATGATATATTTTCCATTATTTGCAAATTTTAACGCTTTAGTAAGTATATAATGGTAAATTTTCTCGAATTATTTTGTTGGTTTGACTTTTTCGGTTTACTATATTTTGTGGGACAAACTAATTAAAAGTTCATACTAAAATGAACGTTCGTCCCCCAAACGCATAGTGAAAGCCCGATGGGCTCATACCAATCTGGTCCATTTTTGGCACCCTGTAATATTAGTTTCTTTGTAAAAAGCCGGATTTGCAACGTATCAGTGAGAGCTATTCTGTTCTGTGCTTGTAAAACCTGACCGCTCTGAGCTGAGGATGTTCTGTGGTTTGCCGTATTCGATCATCATTATCTCCGAATCACCGCTGACATCCAGTGATAACACTTTGTTAGTAATGCTGTGGTTTGGCTATGTTTGTTCGAGCACAGTAATTTAATTGGTGTCATTGTCTTAAAACATCGATCCCGATGGCCTGAAAATATCTTACGAATGTCATCCTAATGACTTCCACAGCGTGTATTGATTGTCAACTCTGTGACTGGGTGGGGTCAAAAATGACTTGGTACCTTGGTATACAAATGTTGTATAAGACTGGCATCCATCGATCCATCATGACTCCCCGGTGCAACTCAGACATTACTCAGAACAAAAACCAGTGGCTATGCGCCTGTAGTTTTGTACATTTTTCATAAAAGTACGTGGAGCTCACTCAACTGAAAAAGGTTTTCATATTATATATTGCTCTTGTTTACTTTTTTTGTAATTGTACTATTCTCTTATAATTATTTTACCACAATGTTTTTAACTCCTTATTCGTGTGGTGCATAGATTTTTGATGCCCAATTGTTTTGGGTTTTGTGCGCATTAAATAAACAAATAAGAACACAAGCTAATTTATTAAAACTTTGATCAAATATTCTAATCCATAAAGTATAGTGGAAGTTTATTTGAATTGGCTTTTATATCTTAGAGTCTAATAACTCATCTATACGATCTGATTTTAAATCGGAGACCATCAACTTTCTCAAATAAATATCCATACTTACCACAATCGCTTTTAATCATTTGGTCTTCTATTCAAACTCTTCTCCACCTACTTCATTTCAGACAACCAGTTAGTATCATTATCCGTCACTTAAAAACTGTAGGTCACTGTTGTGTGAGTTAATCTTTAGTTGGTAAATGACACAGCTGCATAAGTCAGCTTCTGATACTAGCTGGTTGGAAGTAATCTGTACGAAACTCTGTATAGAGCTGCTGGGCTATACGGCCTTGGGCTACCTATCTTCAGCTACCTAACATGCTATGTTGAGTCACTTAGACTAGTGGTCACATTGTAACTTTGTCGTTAGAGTTCGATCAACACTAAGGAATAGAGAAATATTTCCTTGGTCACTACTCAGTGGTGGTCCAATCAATTTTAAATATTTCCTGATCACACCACTCTAATCGTCCCAAATCAAAACAAGAATCGAGAGAGAACAATTCATATTTCAATAAAGTTTATATAAGATTTACGTAAGGATTTATGATCTTTTCAATTCGTCTGTTGTCTCTGATTGATTGGAAATGAATCAGTTGGCGTGTTTCAACATGATTTCGATGTAAGCACAGAGCAATGAGTAGGTCATGGGTTTGAATCCCACTGTATCTTTTTTGATTTAACTTATCAGATATGATCATTAGCTCTCACTTATGGTTTGAAGTGAAATAGATAAGAAGCCATATCTGGTCAGTGAGTTACATGTACGCACTTATATCGTGCCACTCACTCTCGTGCACTGTAACAATCTGTCTTTTCCTACTGTCTTGAGGATTCCAAGCTAATGTTTTCTTAAATTGCTCGTTGTTAAATTAATAAAATTTACTTTATCATTATTTTAGTAAATTGAACTCACGATTTACCATTTCCGCATTGCCAATTATATTTAGTGTTGTTCCCAGCTTTATTTTGATCTCATTTAATTTTTTCTATTAGGGTCCAAGAAGATCTCCAAATAGTGTAGAGGCTGTTTTCTATTGGTCATTTCTATCAGGATTTTTATCAGGAACAATAGCTGCATTCACTGTGACCCCGTTCGATGGTAAGTTTCAATCACTTGTGAATTATTACACATACACTGATTTATAAATATTTCAAATATTTATTGAATATTTAGTTGAATCTTTTAAAAGGCTCAAATTTATCTGGCCGATGAAATTTTCAACCAGATCAATCAGAGTGAATGATGTCTGTTTAACAGTTTGTGAGATCCCATTCTTTATCATAGCTAAATTATACCAAATTGAAATTAATATACTTCGACAAATAAAATGTCATTATTATTATTTTACTATTTTTCTTCTAGTTGTTAAGACTCGACTACAAACAATTAAACATATTGAAGGAGAGAAAGTATTCAAAGGAATAACAGATTGTTTTGTGTAAGTTCTTATTATTCGAATTATTGATTAAATAGCTTGAAAATGTTTAGATCTCTTGGTAGGAGAAAATAATTACTCTCATAGTTTACATCACAAACTGATCTTAGTTAGATGGCCATTGAAAACTAGTAGGTGCTAGATAACAGTCTCATCCTAGTATGCCCCCAAATGTTCTGGTACGACCGAGGGTGGGGAGAGTCGGCTCTCTCTCTCGAAATGCTCTCACATCGCCACGTGCATACAACCACTTCCAAGGAAGTCCTACTCACTACCTTCTCGCGGTGGGAGTGTTGTTTACGAAATGGAGAGGACGAAAAGTGAATGATTTCAGGCAGTCAACACTCATTTGTTCTTCGTTTGGATATAACATATTCAATTTATTCAAGTGATTTACCGAATACAGATTTGTATAAGTGGCTTCAATCCACATTCAAATTCTACGGGTTGTTAATGCTACCCAGTTGTCCAAGCCTAAGTAGGTAGAGCGAGATTTAAATCTTAGTAGCTAAAAGTTGAACAACCTAACCACTGGAACGCTAGCTCAGTAGTATTAAATTATTCAACATCGCTAAGAAAATTACAAATTGAAAACAATCATTTTTTCGTACTTATATTTGTTGTCAACAAAATTTCTAATAATTAATATTTTCGTGGATATTAGGTTCACCTGAATGTCAATGGATCCGAGTTCGTGAAGAGAAATTGAAAAAACTATCTTGAAGTCTAGTTTATTAATGCTATTGTTAGCCTTATATCCAAAAGTTTTTCGATTACTTCGCCCCCGAATACCCTGGTACGGCCAAGAGTGCGGAGAGTCCGCTATCCCTCACCAAATGCTCTCACATGGCCACGCGTATATAACCTCTGCCAGGGAAATCTTACTCACTGCCTTCTCGTGGCGGGGGTGTTGTTTACGAAATGGAGAGGACGGAAAGCGAATGTCTGGTGCTTTAACCTGGTTGGTGGATACGGAGAGTCCACCTAGGGGAGTTGGGAAACCCTGATTCCAAACCAATAGTGCACATGGGCTCCAGTATCCTAAAGGAACAAATGGCGTATGAACCAATCGTTGGTCATCGGCTACCATGGAACTGCATCTCCTTACGATGCTCCACTGCCTTGCGGGTTAGACCTTTAGGTCGAAGGCCCGGGGTGTGGCCTCCTAAGGAAACCACCTGTTTCGGTTTGGGCACCCCGGAAGTATCACAGCCTTCACACATATCAAATGAGATTTGTGTGGCGCATATGTAGTTGGTTCTTCCTTGTACTAAATTCTATGTGTTCAAATAAATAATTAATTAATTAAACCTACCATATTATAGTTATCGAAATTTTTATGCTTTTATTTTCAAATTTAATTATCGACTTGATTTGTTATATTTACTATTTAGGTTCATAGAACCTGATACAATTTTGTGAATTCGTTCCAGTTCCTATAATATATCATTATATTAGGGTGAAATTATCGGAATAAATGCTAAAGTTGTAGAAAAAAGAATACTGTCAGTGATTTCACAAAAGGTTACACATAGACAATATGATTTGTAGAATAAAAAAAAACGTGTATAACATAATTATGAAACTAGGAATTTAATATAAGACAAACAGATGAATGCATATACAGTAGTGTTTCAATCGATACTGAACCGTCTTATTCAACGCTTCAAATCAACATTATGAGACGAAAATATATATGGAGTCAGTTCATGAATTCACTGACTGTTGTTATGCTAAGCATTTTTCGGAATGGTTTATTTTTTTGATTAGGATTTTTAAAATAATTATATGTATATATTTTTAATGGTTGAACACCTTAGACAACGTGACTCAAAATTAATTATCATGGCGTAGATGCAACCATAAGTAGTTATCTTTTTTAAACCGGTTCAGATCAATACCATTTTACACGGTTTCACCTTTAGGAATCATATTTCAATTGATCCGTTTTATCCCAACACCACTATTCATGTTATTATTATTTTCACTTTTTGGATTTCATCTTGTGAATTAGGCGTCTCATTATAGTGCTGTAAAATTTTGGTTAATTTAATAATAATGTGCAGATTTATACCAGATTCTCCATTTTTCAAATATGTCTGCCTACTGTACAGAGGAACAATAAGGATTCAAAGATGATCCAGAGCTGCTGGTGCTGTTTGACGTGTTATTGATTCAGCACAGGGATAAGGTCATCGATGTCGATATTCTGATTGGCGATTTTGTCACGTGATATCCGAGGGGCCATAGGACATAATATATGTGGATCAGTTCAAGTTGCTACACTACATCAACACAGCGAGATGAAATCTGAATGAATTCGGAATCAGCAGAATTTAAAATTGTTTCAGTTGGTAGTAGAAGGCATTTAACATAGCTAATATGTTTGTAGAAGAAAGAGTAATTTCGCGGAATGAAAAGATATTAGATAATATAAAAAGTCATGATCTAGAGAGAGATAAAGAGTGACTATATTCTCCTCCATTACGACGGATTCTAGTCACTTAACATCTTTATCCATTGATCAAGATAACTTCATAGACTTCAATTATTTGTTTAAATCTATCGACGTAACTCCATAGCCCGATGCCACGTTTTGGTGTGGCGTCCCTAGCTTTTTTCCAATCTACTCCACCAGCTGACATCGCCTACCAATATATACCACTTGACTTCCAAGCTGCTGGATATATATTTTGAATCCTGCTTTACATGAATTTGTTTATGCAACCGGTTATTATTTTACTGGTTTTCACACACACACACACATCAAACTGTGCTTCAAACACAACATAAATATATAATTTGACAAATCAATGACATTTTTATCATTATATCCATTATATATATAACCACTGTTAAATGCATTTTTTATGATTTATTTTGTAAATTTTCTAGGCAAACATTACGTAATGAAGGTGTTCATGGTCTATTCAAAGGGGCTGGTTGTCGTGTTATGGTTATGGCACCATTGTTTGGTATAGCACAAACTGTGTATTACCTTGGTGTTGCTGAACGAATTTTAGGTTATCCAAGATATTAAAACAAAAATGAATGAAATATACACATACAATCATTCATTTTCAATGCATAAAAATGAAATGATGCTTTGATGCCCTGCCGCCAAATGTATTCATTCATATTTACACAGAGGATAGGGGAACAGTAAGGAAATAGTAAGTTGCGCAATGCTTTCTTTCTCTTTTTTTCTTTCTGGCAATAAATACTCATTATTTTCTATACAATTTTGTGATAAGTAATTTGTATTGCTTTACCAATAGATAATAAACCATTATAATGTGTTTACTTCGGTTGAATTCCATATTGATATTGTGTTTCCTTCTTTCAATCCCTTTTTCAATTATTTTATTATTACCCCTCCTCTTGTTTTCAGATACCAAAAGTGTACTCTTTGCTCCAATTAACACGGGCGTTTTATTATTAAGTTATAACTGTGATTTTCTATTTAGTTCGTCTTTGTATAATTAAATTTCCTTATACCTTGTCCGTATACATTCTATGGACACACACGCACACACCTTTATATATACTGAATATTGGTGATAAAAAGTGAACGAATCTCTGTTATATTTCCTCTTAATCCTCTGAAAAAATCTCTAGGCAACATCCATCTTTGTTTATTATTTAATAAAAGCGGTTGTTTTTGAGTGTACATATGTCCTGATTAATTAATGTATTTATTATATACATTTATTACATTATCATATCTGACTATGTAACTAGTCATTATCATGTTAATTATTACCTTTATTGTTTCGATTATAAAACATTTTCCCTACTTTTCTTTCATGTCTTTCTTCTCCCCCCTCTCCCTCTCTCACTCTCTGTCTCTCTTTCTTCAAGATTATATTTTTATAAAATTTGACTGAGTTTCACCTTTTTATTCTATTTATTTGTTATTATCATTATTCCGAATAAATTATATGTTTCCATGTTTCTTCGTTTTGTATATCGGTGTTTAATGTTTGTTTCATTGGATTTTCTATTCACCTGATAACTAAACAACTTTGATAATGGATAATTGATTAATGTCTTGTAGATCAAAGTATTCTTTTCATGTGTAAAGTTGCTAAAGTTGGTCGATAGGAAACTTTGCTCAATTTAATTTCCTTGCTATATGGCACTGTTTACTAGGGCATACCCATAGTCTGAAAAGGAATTTATAGTCTCTTGTGGATTTGAATTCACGTCACCTAGCTTCATAGGATGGGACGTTACCATTGAGCTGTTCGAGCCAAGACTAAACACCTATAAGACTAAGATATTTGCAGTTGATTAATCATTGAGTAGTTTTTTGATTTCTTAGAGAAAGGTTAACAAGTTTTTTAATCCTAATCTTTCCTTATGTAATTCGTTTATTTCGTGTTAAAATTTATTGTTATAAATTAGTAGTACATACTGATTTGAAGCGATAGCGAATCCACCTACTAAGTTGTAGGTTCGATTTCTACTCTACTTAATTTTGAGTTCAGTAACTGGATGATACCACTAAATCTTATGCAAAAGGTGTAATCCGTAGCGGAATACCTAAAGTAGTATTTGCTAAATGAGATATACAACATTTTTCGAACTCTTTTATTCATTACAAATCAATAGTTAGGTTTTATGGTTTACAACACGAACTAACCTTAGACAATTATTGGAAACCAGAAAACGCAACCACAGCGTGACTCTTCAGCAGTGCATATTTACAGGCTCACTGGTAATCGAATTAGGATCTGGCCTCATTGGATTGAGTCAGTTACCCACCAATAACATGATCTTATTCTGGTTGCATGATATTTTGGTAATGAACTGAAGTTAAGCGTGTAACCCACTAGTTGTATACTTAGTGGTCCTATAGTTTAGTGCTCCTCAGGAATGCTAAAGGTCTTGGACCTAGTCCTCAGTCGGGTTGGTGATGCTCATAGCTGAGGAATTCCATACTAGAATGAAACAGATGTACTATATTTTGTGGCTGTCTAGCTACAGTCAGTTTGTGATGTAAGCTACAAAGTTGTTAGATTCCAGTAACTATCAAATATCTTTTAATTTAGGTGATATGTTGGCGGAGGAATAATACGATAGCGAAAATACAACTAACCTCTAACACTACAATTACAACTGTGTTTGAACTGTGAAATGCTTCTATGTTCTGACTATATGTAAATTTAATGATAACTGTTTAGATAAATGTAATATAGCATTTTAACTTAATGTGTAAAATGTAAACGAAATTGTTTGTTGGATTATACTTATTTGGTGACTTTAACAATGGTACTTGATTATTGAGTAGCAATGAAATTTCACACTGATTGTTCAATGATTTGAAGACTTGGTTTTTCAATCGTTGAACACTAGTAGATTTGCTTTAATTTAACTAACTAACTAATCTTTAAAAAAGTTAAGCTAAAAACGCAATATATCAAGCTGTTCTTTTGTTACTGTTGTAAGTTAATAATGTTAAATATATTGACTAGGGAGTCGTAAATACGATAACCGGATTTTAGAAGGATAAATGTTATGGGGTTATTGGTAATCGGGAGAAATCCGTGGAACTAGATTTTTTGTTAGTTAGCGCTCGTCAACGAGATATGTGTTCAATATTGAGGGAAGTAATGTCTATCTGATTCAAACCCAAATCGTACATCCCTTCAATCTGGAATATTATCACTGAGCTATTGAGGTTACGACTGATCTGTTACAACTTGATTGATAGAATTCAATCATCACTAAGTATACTTAATGCTAGTCTATAGACTAGGCAAACATGAAATTAGCTGCTTATTCACTGATTATTATTATGTTGAAAATTCCTCAGCTTTTATATCTCTGTCCACTGCCACAGTTATAATATTTTCTTGTCAGTGATCGACGGTAATCGTGAGGAAGCTCTGAATTTAAGTTTAATTCTAGTTGCTTTCGTCAACAGTAGATATCTGTAGTCTTTCAGGGGATTGATACTTCATGTTAGATTTGAGCCTGTATCATTCAGTATTACAGTCATTAATGATACCAATGAGATAATTGGGTAACCACTAACTCTCTGCAGCACTGAGATCATTCTTGATCAAGGACTAACCAGTTACAGATCAGTCAGTTTTAGTGTGTTTACAACAAATTCTAATGGAAAAAAGGAAGGTTTACTTTACTAATGTATTTTGAAATTGAGATGAAACAGCTCATTGTTGGTACCAAATTATCATTGATTTTTAAATGATAATAATTACATAACTATATTCTGTCTACTTTTTGCTGTCCTACGTTTTAATAAGTCAGAATATTCTCCATTTTATCAAAAAATATATTTCGAGCGTTTATTTTTTATTTAAGTCTGATAAAGTGGACATGAATTTTTATGAAATATTAGATTGTTCAGTTACTTTAACCCTGTCTGGGTCGATTCGACCTTGAACATGACATTATTTGGATAGTATTGTGGTGCGTGCTACTAATATCGATGTAAGTAGTATATCACGCGAGTTAAAAACTCAAAGTCTGGCAGCAGAAGATTGGGGAAGATGAAGAAAGGGAGAGCGACAACACAATGCACTTTGTAATGAAACGCATGAACAATGAAATGTGAGACAATGGGTTGATGTTTGCAATAGGAACAGTCCAAGTTGATATGATGGGTTGATATTCTGCAAATTAACGATTTACTATATGGTTTTTTCTATTTTACCAAGTAACTCTGTAATTTTGTGCTAAATACAGTTCTGTTGTCCTCACCTGTGTTCTCCTTCACTACTGTATAATAAGAAGACGAAGATTATACTATTACAATTTATCAAGCGGACTAATTGCTTATTTCTTTCTAATTCCGAACATTTAAGTAGTACAAAAAACTGATCCCATTAACAATCTGATGTGTAGTGGTAGAAAGTTCTGTTAATCTATTAGGGGTAAAGTCAGTAGTTGACATTTTTTAAGTGAGTTAAATTATTCGATGCTTCTTGATGAAGTATAACTCGATTGATTGTTATATGATTACAGTCAGTCAATAAGATACCGTGGTGTTACGTTTAATGTTAATTGTAAGTATAATGTGGAGATTGTTGAATTTCCTTGAAATCATGAACCGATCAATGTTAGACCATCATCGAAAACTTGGAAGCACTGAACGGCCATTTCGTTCCAGTATGGGACTCATCCTAATTGGTTGGTGTCTGATGAAGCCTTTGTACGGATTTAGAAAGCTCGTTTGGCTTTTGCCAACTTACGTCACTTATAGCGAAGGCGATATATCCGTCTATCAATTAAGGGACGAGTATACTGCGCGGCAGTTCGTTCTGTTCTACTTTACGACTGCGGGACGTGGCCTTTAAGAGTAGAAGATATCCGTACGCTACTAATATTTGACCACAGATGTCTCAGAAATATTACTCTCATTTGCTGGGATCACCGTGTAAGTAGTAGTGAGGTTAGATGCATGGTATTAGGGAATGATGGTAAATCAGTCGATGAGGTTGTAAATCTTCATCGACGTATGCCTGAACACTGATTACCACGACGCGCAATGTTGACTAGTGTTGTGGATGGTTTTAAGAAAGTTAGAGGCGGCCGAACCAAAACGTAGCATTAATCCATAAGGTCACTAACTTCTGACATGAGCCATATTGGTAGATACAGATTACTTGATTGGGGTCGCGTGATTATCCTAACCAATGGTTGGAGACTCTTGGTGACATGGTTCAGAACTGATCACAATGGTGTAGGTGTGTACACTCTGTCTTTCCTTAAACTATGAGATTAAAATTGCTTTATATTTTTCTTTCTACCAAATAGTTTTTCTTCCTGTACTATATTCTTATACACAATCTTTCTTTTATACATTACAACCATTGAAGTGACTACTTCTATGAATTTGGTATTCATCTTGTTGTTCTAATGAGATGTGGCAACTTGGACTGATGCATATATGTGCCTGGTCCTACTTTGTAGCTGACTGACTGAGTACGGGACTCATCAGGAGTGCACATTCACACGGGGATCGAACCCATGCCCTTCGGTCTCTCGCGCGAACGTTAAGCCTCAAGACTACTGAGCTGGGATCCGAAACTAATTGTTACTCGTCAACAAAGTGCACTAGTATTCCTGGGGGAACTAATGCTCTCTGATAGATACGATCCCTCATTTTCCAACTTCACAGTCAGAGATGTTATCACTGAGCTATCCAATATGTGACTGTCTTCCTCTAAAACTTTTATGTACTTACAAGTCGTTGGTATCTGAATGGCAACCAATGTCATGTTTGTCAAGTCCTTCTTAAGTTCTTATCAAATTCTACTGATCATTTTACAATGTGACTACTAGTCTAAGTGAATCGACATCGCGAGCACTATATTGAGATTTAAGGTAGTGGTTGGGGGTAGTCGATAAACTATGAGCTTAGGTTTCGTGCTATACGACACTCGTCACCTAGGTTAACCTGTAGTCTTGAGGGTACTGGTGCTCCTTGGAGGATTCGATCCTGTGTCACCCAGCCTTACATTCAGGACTGCTACCACCGGGCTATCCAGGGTTCAACTAACCACCTTTAGTAAGTGAAATTTTTTTACTGCATATGTAACATGAGACTATACTTGAAAAATTAGTGCTCCCAGTGTTGAAAGATAGTGAATTAGAATTAGAAACTTAAATGTCTTTCAATTGTATTTTTAAATGCTAAAAAGATTAATAAACTAACTTGTGATGACTAGAATATCTACAGACAGATCAACGTAATCATTTTGAGTTATTTCGTAGACATGTATTTGTCTTTTTCATTTATTCCCCTTTAACCTTGACCGTTTGCATAATAGTAAGTATATATCTATCTACTTGCTTGTGTTTCTTACATTTAGTTTAGAACTGAGTTACGTTTTATAGTTTTTTTAAAAGTCGGTTTAATGCTGAACTTGAGCGTTTTATATATTTGCTTCATCTTTTAGGGTTTTCTTGCCGTTTAATATTCATATGCATGAAATACGCTTGTCTTAAATACAATTCGAAATCAATTTTTTATTTCTACATATTAACTTGATCAGTGAATATATTTCACTAACACCATGCAATAATTGTCATCATTATTAGGGTCAACGCAAGGGTGAACTGACTTCTATCCCTCAAAACACAATTATTCATGAGGGATCTAAAACATTATCGCCATCATCACCATTATTATCATTTGAAAATATACAGGTTTTTACATGTAGACGCTCTCATTTCTTTACTCGTTTTTCAGCGGAACCATTAATTAAACAAAGTTCTATGCTCAGGAGACAATATAAGTGGTCAGGTTGAATGACTTCATCAAGTGATGTGATTAACACACATTCAACGTATGTCCTTAAGTAGAGATTTGGAATTGTTAAGAATGAATAATCATATAACTCAGTAGTTTAGTTCCCTTATGACTTTTCAACGTAAAAAGTGATGTGGAAATAATTAATTAAATTCTCAAAATTTGAAGTATTTACACCGAGAAATGGAAGCTTCCTATGGGTTGTTGATAAAAAAATTCGTTTTTAAAAAATTCAATTATCGGTTAATTTTGAACTATACTATAGGACAAGCTTTGAACAATGTTGATAATGTATAATCTTGTAACTTTTAGAGCTATTTAAGAGTTTATCCAATTCAGAGTTACCATACTAGACAAGTAACAAGGCCTATGTTGTAGTTTCTGATCACTGATCGGGATCACATGCTATTAGACTCGACCAGGATTCAATTTCCAATTTTGCTGTATGTCTCGTCTGGTATTTCTCTTATAGTCCAGCGTCTTAGACTAGACCAATTATACGTACGGTAAGCACCGTTAAACTTTAGCCGATGCCGGATAAGCTCCCATTGGTCCGCTGTATTCAAGCTGTTCCTAATCTTTGCATAGATTTCAAATAGAGGTTACTAGTCAGCTCCTATCATTATTATGTTATAAGCACACCTAGGTTTATGTAAGCGCATATAGGATTACATCGTGTCATAAAACGAAAAATCGCAAATATACAAAATTGAGACAAAAATAGCTGGTGAATGGAGCAAGTTGCGAATAACCGATTTACAGTAAAATACGACAGTATAATGATGGTTATTGGATTAAACGAAAGCTTAAGATAAACGCGATATATAAGTATTGTAATCCAGTTACTTAGTAATTACATGATAAAAAAATATATATATAATGGTGAACTATAAATTAGCTCTAAGGTTTATCATTTCTTCAATTTTCGT